CTAGACCCCTCAAAGGCACAACTGCAGGTACCAGAGCTGGAGACCAAAGAACCCTGCATTGCCGTCGTTTCCCGAATACCAGCTCTGTATACTGTGACTGTTAATTACTAACTACCCGGCACCCACCGATGTAAAAGAATCATGTTTCTCCAATTTCCCCGCTGTGCTTTTTTCCCAGCTCATTAATCCACCACAATGCATTTCGTGTACCTTCCTTACGATTCTAAATGCAGAAATGGAATGGGAAAACTGCCATTCTCTGAAGCATTTTCTCATTCTCAATCTGTTCAGATTTTGTTTCTGGGCATGTCTTCAAAATTTTGCCTCAGATAAACTCTTATACAGCTGTTCTGTAGGCTAGACATTCTTTGGTCAACAAGAGGCACACCAGAAACTCCCCCCTCCTCAGATTAGCAGCTGTTTTCTTCTCCACGTGTGTATTTGAAACCCATCAACTTTCCTCCAACCTTGAGGTTTGTATGGCTTCCTCTGGGGGAAGTCACTTGGGAAGGGTCCCTTTTGCCTGGGTGGGACCATGGGTTCCTCCATTAGTCTGGTCCCACCTACGCTATTGGATACTGAATTTTCTCACTGTTCTGGTCTTCTGATGCTCCTGATGCTCTTCTGCAATCTGGGAGAGTTTATACTTAATTTTCATATGTCTTCTATCATTTCAATGGGATTTGGGTAACAAAGAGGAGATAAGTTTATTATTCTAGTGAGATTTAAAAAAACGTGGTTGTTAGCTGGTTTTGGAAAAAGAACTAGATGTCTGTTTCATAGCTCACAAGGTGGGCTTCAGATACTTGTATGACTTCTTCCTAGATGCACTCCTACCCTCAGAATATGCCCTTGGGATGCTCATCGCCAGGGGTCCCCCACTGCCTTCCACCTTGATGTCCCAGGCAGGCGCAGGCCAAAGCCTCCAAAAGCCCCTTTGGTTACACAGGGAGGCCAGGCAGGGAGCTAGCTTTATATCGAGGTTCCGACAGGTGTGAGAGGACCCCTGATAAAGTACTAAAGAATTACTCTGTTTCTCCACAGTCTCTCTTTGCTGACTTCCTTTGTCATATCCTTGTAGGCTCCCTGTCCTCTGTCTCCACAGAAGATTTCACCAATTCTTTTAGGCCAACCGTAGTGAGATGTGAGAGTGTGATCTAGTAAGAAATACAGATTCGGTCTCCCACTCCAGTTCCTAGCACAGACATTCTAAAACCCTTGGAATTTCCTGAGTGGTTGGGGTGAGGAGCATCTTTTGTCATTCATAATAAGCTCCCTTCCAGCCTGCTAGAGTTTTTGCTAATGATGTAACTCTTGGAAGAGAGGGCCTTGCTGCCAGAGAGACCAACCCTGTGATTGGAGGATGGAACTTTCACCCCTTCCCTGACCTCCAGGGAGAGGAGAGGGCTGGGGACTGCTCTAACCACCCATGGCAATGACTAGATCTACGATGCCTACGTAATGGGATCTCCCAAAAAAAACTCTAAATGAAGGGGTTCTGAGAGCTTCTGAGTCGGTGAGTACATCCAGGGTCCGGGAGGGTGGTAAACCCCAGTTCCATGGGGACAGAAGCTCCTGACCATTCCGGACCTAGCCCTAGGCACCTCTTCACCTGGCTGTTCCTTTGGCCCCTTTATAGTAAACCAGTAATAGGAGGCAAAGTATTTCTCTGGGTACTGGGAACCATTCTAGTGAATTACTGAGCTTGAGGAAGGGGTCATGGGAACCCCTGATTTTGTAGCCCAATGAGACAGGTATGAGTAATCTGGGGGCCTACTACTGGTGACTGGTGTCTGAAGCAGGGGACAATCTTGTGGGACCGAGTCCTTAATCTGTGGGGTCTGTGCCAACTCTAGATAGGGTCAGCATTGTTTAAGTGAGGGGAAACGCCTCACACAAAGGTGTCACAAGGGTTGTGAGTGGAGAAATAGTTTTCTTTATAAGGTTATTTAGATTACCAAAAAAAAAATCAAATATCTGTCAAAAGAATTTCAGAATAGCACTCCCCACACCAGATTTCCATGTGTTGTTAACAAAAAGCACAGAAAGAAAAATAAAGTTCCGTAATCAACAGGCTGTGTAAAGAAGTTGATCTGATGCCAGAACCCATTCAACTTGAATTGGCCCTGAGTAGTATTCTGATGTTGATTTACAACCCAAGTCTCTTTGCTATTCAAGGCAACACACAGCCCTAAGCTCTGGCATCAAACTGGCAACCAACAAATTAGCATCATCTTTGAAGAACCCAATCAAACGTCTGCACCCAAGGACTGACACAAGAAGGCATCGCCCTGTGCTCTAGGATGGCCTGAAATACGAAAATGGATTCAACATGTTTAAATGAAGTGTGGCCATTTTTGAAAATTATCTGCCACGTACTCTTTTACTTTGATATTTAATTTTACATTTTAGTTTAACATGCTTGTTAAACATCCTGAGTCACAAAGCTTCTATCTGTAAAAGCCTTCTACTGTGGATATTTTAAAAAGGATACCATATCACAACTCTAATAATTAACTTTAACCTATGTAAATAGGATATCATTTTTGTTTACTATCATATTAACTTTTCATTTTACACATACATAAATGAAGCCCAGTGACGGTAAAGGACTTGCCCACGGCCAGGAACCCCAAGAATCCTTAGCAAAATTATATGCTGTTCCTAAGTAAAATACTCTAAAAGTAATAGACTTAATGCCACTGATTTAAAAATACTGACCTGTTTCTCTCAAGGTATATTACTCTGATGTTTTGTAGGATATGAACAGATACTCGGCAAGTGATTCTTTGGTTAAATCAGTTTATAAGTGTTGGATTAAACACAGACTCCTAGAGCCTTTACTATTCAAATGGGTTTTAGGAACCTCCAAGGGGGGAATACAGTTGGCAACTGGTTTTGTAAACTATTTAACCACAGATGTCATTTCCCCATTAGAATAAAGCAGAAGTCGGATAGGAAATGCTGTCTTAATCCATTTCCTAGAGAATTTTCTTGTTTCCCCAGAATGTACCATGTCACTGTCACTAGAGGAATCTTTCTAAGACTTTATCTGGCTATACAGTCCTTCAGAATGCTCCCTTCTGCCATGTGGGTCAAGGCCACTCTGGCATGGCAACGAAGGCCCTCAATAACCTGTACAGACCAGATCTTAGCACTCTTCAGGAATTTTATTTACACTTCCAAGCTGTGCTTTTAAATCTTCTCCTCCCTGTGTGCTTGAGAGATACCACAAACTCAAATCCATTAATAATAGGAGAAGGTGGTGAGCAATTCCTTAAGAGGTATAGCTTATTCCCAGTGGTTTCTAGAGGTAGGTTTGCCGAAATATAGCTTGAGAAATTATCTATCTATCTATCTATCTATCATCTATTTACTTACCTACCTACCTACTATCTATCTCTATCTCTTTAAATAACCCTTTAAAAATGCAAAAACTATTCTGAGTTCACAGACAACACAAAAACAGACAGGCCTGCATGTGGCCCACTGGCCTATTTTCCGATTCCAGGCTTAGAGGACATTCAAGACTGTGCACCATGCTCTCTGCTGCGAGCGTGAAAGGGAAAGGAAGGATGCTTTGTGCCTGGAGACAGCAGAAGCAGGATAGGACGGCACGAGGGGCAGCTACTAGAGAGGTGGGAGCAATGCTTGAGATAGAAACATGAGTATGGTTTCCAGCATGCCGGAAAAGCAGGAGGCACATGACTCAGAGAAGCAGCTACCAAGCTATCCCCCTCAGCATCACCCAAGGCCAGCCCCACACACTTGGAAAACAGTATCAAACACAAGTTGTAGCACGTGCATCTTCCTCTCAGTGTGCAAGAGCTGAGTCACGGAGAATGCAGATCAGCTGCCAGGGACTCTCAAGCAAAAATGAGCTCACAATCAGCAATACAGCCAGATACTTGAGGACTGCAAGTGAAAGAGGTGATGGACAAAAAAAGACTCTGCACTCAAAAGAGGAGAATCCATAGAGAATATGGAAGAGCACCTTTACAAACAATTCCTACCCTTGGAGAGATAAGAGGAGGAAGTAGATCCATGAAGAAACTAGAAGCACTGTTCAGCGAGGACATTTTTACAATTTGTTTTCTTAAGAACCAATGATTTTAAAAAAATGTTATTTACTAACAATCTGAGACATTCAAGGAAAGATAACAAAGAAAATTGAACTAGAATCTGAGAAAAGTAGAAACAGAAAGAATTCTTAACTTATTGGGGAAGAGATTTATAAGTTGACTTTTTTCTGCTTCTAAAATGAGTGTGGTAAAAGGTGTGTTTAAACTTAAAATTGATAATTAGAACAAACTATTAGAGGGAAAGGTGAATGGATTTACGGACATGGTGAAAGGCCTGGGACACCCTTTGCTCCAGTAACAATGAACTCACTGCTATAGTGTCCTCACCTGCTCCTGCAGGTCAAGTGCCTGCCCACGTTTTCCTCCAGCCCGAGTACTGCCTTCATCCGAACCTTTCCAAAAACGTCACCTTTCTCCTCGCTCCCAACCCTCATCCCACTGTGCGAGAAGCACATGTCTATCCTAGCAGCATCTATAACATTTCATTAAACTGTGGTTTACAAAACCACTGTGTTCACTGGCCATAAGTTCCTTGAGGCCTGGGGCAGCCTCCTCATTTCTGAGTCCTTTACCACACTGTAGTTACTCAGTGTTTGTTGAATGGCTGAATACAGAAGCAACTTTTACACATTTCACATTATTAGAGACTCATAAGTGATTGTATATAAGCAAGGCTATTAATGATTAAATAAGATAAATTATTTGTTGCCAAAGAGCAAGGAGCATGTCTAAATTACTATTATATTTCTGAAAAAGTCACCCTTGCATTTTTTTTTTTTTGCTAAGTTTAGAAATCAATTGAGGATGGAGGAGGATGGATGAGACAACTTTAGAGGTGTCTTTCACCTCTAAGGCTGTAAGTTTAGAGAAAAATTTTAAAAGATACTTAGATCAATTGGCCCTGAAATCATATTCTACCTGCAGAAGCTCTAGGTCTTCACGGTTTTCAGATCCTGGAATATTCTCCATCAATATGGCAGACATCACTTTGACATTCATCCTCACCATATCCAACTCACTGAGCAATTTTCCAATCTGCAGAGAGCAACACAGTCACCAGGCAGTACACGTGACACACAGGGAATGGCTACATTGTTTCCTTGTCTTAGGGGACACTTACTGGAAGAGAAAATGTTGTTGTAAAATTTAACATTTTCAAATTTATATTTTAATGAATAAAAAAATATACTTGTACATTTTACAAATGTGTAATCTATCACCTAAAAGGATTTAAAGATCTCTTGTAGTAAATCAAAAAATATGCTTCAGGACATTAAAAATAAAGGTAGGAAAATCAGATTAGGTACCATATGGAGAAGGGGAAGGTGACTACACAAGCATGGGACAAAACAGAAAGTGTTAATCTTGGTTTCTTGGCAACCGATAAGGGAAGAAGTGAATAAATCAAAGTGTTACAGTTCTCATGGTATTAGGGAAGGAATAATCAAGAGAGAAACACTTTTTTTTCTTCCTGGATTAAATTCTAAGGGAAAGTAACTGCATGGATTTTTATATAATGCAGAATAATACTACTACAAAGTCTTCAGTGACAGTTCCCTTAAAGGAGGACAGGAAAGCCCTTCACAACAGGTGAGACAAAAAGAGGCGAACAATTGTGAGTACGTGAAACACAGACGTTATTGCTGTTATTACTTATTAATTAGTGTACTATTTTCCAAAGGAAGAACCGTTAACTTACTTTTGCCCCGCCCTGTATAATAATTGCTCACCTGGACCTCTGATAAATGGATATTGACAGACAAGGAAATGGAGTTCAGCAGCACAATGAATGCTAGTAACAAGGCTACCACTTACTGAGGTTTCTGAAAGAGTGTTTGGACAGTCGTAACAAAAACAATAAAAATCAGCTGGTTGACACCAGATCCATTTCCCAGCCCAACCTCTATAGACACACAAAAGCCACTAGCCAAGCAGCATGGTTAGGAGCTCAGGCTTTGGGATCAGACAGAATCCAGGGGATTAAGTTCACTTAGAACTGAACCACTGTAAATCCCACGGTACCACTAAGCCCCAGGCCCCTCCTCTGCAAAGTGAGGATAACAGTGCACCCCCCACCTCATAACGTTGTTAAAAAGAATAAACTGTATACAAACTGCTCAGAACTCAGACAAAGTCATCCATAAAGTCAGCTGTTGCTATTCTTACCTGCTCTGGCACCAACGAGATAGTCGTGTTCTTGGGAGCAATTACAGAAGAAAGAGCTGGGGCGGTAGGAACACATGTTGGTGGATTTGATGAGATCGGAGTCGTCTATCAATAGGAAATATAGAAATATTATTTAATATGTATTAACATAAACACCCTGACCCCAGGTTTTTCCGTTCAGATGACTCAATCACGCTTTCCCAACCAGAGTCCAGGTCAGAGGGTGTTAGCCCAGTGTGCATCATCAAGTGTTTCAGCTGCCCAGCATTTTGAGAACAGTGCTAAGCAGATGGTGTGCCCATCAGAGAGTATGTAGTCAATAAAAGGTGCTATAATGATTATTAACTGACTTAAGATTTAATAAAATCCTCTTAGTATTCTTTTTTACCAACCATCTACAAGACAAACTGCCATGTGAGATTGCAGCTGCCCTCTTTCTGGGTTTTTTAAAAACAAAAGATAAGCCTTGGCTGGCGTAGCTCAGTGGATTGAGCGCGGGCTGCGAACCAAAGTGTCACAGGTTCGATTCCCAGGGTACATGCCTGGGGTGCAGGCCATGACCCCCAGCAACTGCACATTGATGTTTCTCTCTCTTTTTCTCCCTCCCTTCCATCTCTAAAAATAAATAAATAAAATCTTAAAAAAAACAAAAGATAAAATCGATCTGTGTCAAGTCTCTTCAAGCCACAGCTAGCAAAGCACCCCCTTTTCCACCAGTGAACACCTCCCTGAGTGAATGCTCCATTTCCATCCACGGTGGAGAGCCCAAGCACAGGGCTGGAGGCTGGTGTTTCTCAATGCAAATGTGCAGAAACATCACCTGGAAATCTTGCAAAAGTGAGATGATTCTGATTTAGTCCAGGACAGACCAAAGATTCTACCCCAAATCACACTCTGAGTAAGCAGCAAGCTTCTACACTATTCCTACACTGTGCCTTGGAAGAAAGACCTAGAGGGATGGGGTGAGTAGGCTCACGGGCAGGTAAAAGAATGGGGACAGAAAGCAAATGGCCACACAGGTAGAGGCTGGCCCTCAGGACCACGCCTCCATGAAGACTTCTGGTATTGCTTATTCCACCAGGACTCAACAACTACAGAAGGAACTGCTCTTTTTGCATTACAGAAATTACAGAAAGTTAAGAGGTGAGTTATAATCAGCCACTCAAACTGTCATAGCTCACAACCTCTAAAATTATTTGCAAACATAAGAATCCATGTGAGTATCTAGGAACTCTCTTAGACACAATATTAATAATAAATGACAAGTAGATTATATGACTACCTAAGGAAGACACCCTTGTCTGGCACCAATCTTTTTTTTTTTAAAGCTTCCGCCTCCTCTACTATAGCCAAATGGTTTCTACGTGGAGTCATCATATCATGTTCTTGCATGACTTCAGGTAACATGTGTAGAAATAGAAAACAGACCCAGATTAGTATAGGGAGTTTCCTTCTCCCAGGTTTTTTGACTTGGAATCTGAAAACGTTAAAGCTATCACATGAAAATCTGGAAGCTCTGTTGCTGACTATGTGGAAGCAGCTGGTCTGCAAAGAGAGAGAGGAATGAAACCGATAATCATATATAAATAGACAAGTAACGAGGCATTTGGGTGCTTGGTTCCCGGTAGTTCAAAAAGGTCCAGCTAACACTAACGTTCTTGTGGCTTAGTCATTCTAGGAGAGACTGCTATATCCTTCTAATAAATTCATCTTTTTGCTTATGCTGAATAGAGCTAGGATTTTCCCTTTCAATGAGAAAAGATTCATGTGATATACTAACTTTACATGAGTCAAGGAAGAGACCTCCTACCTCTTGTTCGGCTGTTTCGGCCTCCGCATCTGAGGGAGGAAAGTGAACACCTTTCTTCAGCAGGTCCAGGTACACTTCTTTCACTTCACTCACATCCACGTCTCCTGGGAAACCCTGTGACCACGTCTGAAAACAGCAGCAAAAACAAAACAGTTCTTAAGCTGGAGGACAGAAAATGAGAGATTGATGATTACGGACCTTACTCTGAAAGAGAAAGCTACTTTTGAATGCCAAGGACAAACTGTACATATTCAGAGACTAGAGTAATAACGTAAAATATTTTTAATGATCAGACTCCCATGCCTCAACATTTTAATGAAACCCTGGAATAGACACTATTCATTGTTTTTTGTTGCACCAAATCCAGAATGAATAGACATATTGTAAAACAGCATCAGGAGCTCTTTTGTCAAACAACTTTGAAAGTAGTCCGTTACCTACTCTACACATAGTTTCATAGCCACAAAATGAATGTACGCATCACTCTCTTATCTGACGTGGATAAAATAGAAACGGAGAGAAAGTAGGAAAATCCCTACAAATTCTTTAGGAAAAAAGGCACCACCCAATGACCAAAAATTATTATTATACAGAAAATAAAGCAGTAAAATGCTTTCTGGCTAACTCATAGGTTTACAGAAGATCAGTAAACCAATTGGCATGCAATTAAATCTCTAATCATAGAAGTTTGCCACCCCCTAAGACATACAAGACACTTACCTTAATAAAATTCAAAATCCTATTCTGAATGTTTAATGGCAAGTTGTATTTGGGATTCAGCGGCTTAACTAGGCTATCTTTAATGAACTCCTTCTTCACAATCAGAGATTGGAAACTTGGACCGCAGTTCTGCATGCACATGTCAATAAGCTAAATTAGAGGGGAAAAAAGAAACACTAAATTTCCTTGGAAAAACCTCTTCATAAGGTAAAAATTGCTAAGTAACAATTTCTACCAGCACTCTAATGAACAAACAGAATTTGGTATTTACTAAAACATATGGCAAAATGTTAGGTTCTGGGAACATGAGGAAGCATAAGGAATAATGGAACTGCTCAGAGCAGTGATTTTCGACCTTTTTCATCTCATGACACACATAAGCTAATTACTAAAATTCTGCAGGACACGAAAAAACATATTTTTTGCCGATCTGACAAAAAAATAGGTATGATTTCATTTGATGTACAAAACAGAACAGTAATAGTAATTACCTACGCTTTTTGTTCCAAAGTACCTTTTTAAAAAATCAGTTGCCTATGTTTATATATAAGGATTGCTGGTAGCAAACATTAACCAATCAGATACAACCTTATCATATGATGTGACCAATAAAATGCAACTCCATCATATGACCTACGTATTTATGGTTCAACACAGGGGATCCACACTGGATGGCTATTGTTGTGTTGGCTGTCGTTATTTTTTTATTTGACAATCTGATAGAAAAGAAGTCAGTGTCCCTGACTAGTCAGGTATTATATGTTTTAAAAATTCTTGCTACACAGAGACTTCCTACAAGAGCATTAACACTAATACAAGGCACTAAATGGGAAATAGAAACAAAACACATTGGCTATAGACAAGGTGATATCTGTCCCAATTTCCAAGGAAGTCCTGGTAATATTCCTGTTGTCCTGGCTTTATGAATGATGATACTCTCTTTCCCGCTCAAAAGTGTCCTGTTCTTCCCCAATAAATTCAATTAAAAACAGAATATTAAAATTAATTAATAAAAAGTGTCCTAGTCTGGATGATCAATTACATAGTTACCCTAAGTTATAGACCTTTATGGACATATGTGATCATTTAGGACCAGGTAGTTAGGACTTTTGGAAAAGGCTAGCCCTACACTGGGCTCTGAAGAATAGTTAAGAAAAGTGCAAATGAGTGTAGAGCTATATTTTAGACACATGAATAATACTGTGAACAGAAAAATAAGCACTTTGGTCTCTAGAGGTTTCTTTGTGAGCCAAGCTGGGGACCCTGCGGGGGGAGGGTAGCTATCGAGTCTGGAGAGGAACCATCAGGCTGTAGAGAAATGTGCACGGCAGTGAAGGGTCCTCGTTAGTCTGTCACCGTCACATCTCTACCCTGAACTGGAGAGAAAGGTTAATGGTGCAAAGTAATACTCGGGAAAGGTTTTCCGCCAGCACTCTACAAAGCGCACTGGAAGGAAGAAGAACCTGGAACGATGGAGAAATCCAGCAGGGACCCAACAGCACAGGCCTGATGCAGAAAGGCCTCAACCAGGACGACATGGGTGCAAAGAAGGAAAAGACAGGCCAGTTATGAAGGAAGGACTTCCAAAAACTGAAATGTACCGTGCTGTCATTCTGCACGAGACTGTGGCACCCTGGATGGAAACTGGGAAGTGGATGAGATGGTATGAGTGGTCTAGGGTAAAAATGATCTATTTTGAGTTGAAAAATGTTAGGGACTGAGTGTTTTTGTCCCTCCCAAACTCAGATGTTGAAGTCCCTAATGCCTAATGTGATGGTACTTGGAGCCAGGGCCCTCGAACGCTAATTAGGTCATGAGGGCAGAGCTCTCACGAACGAGATTAGTTCCCCTTATAAAATGGGATGAGAGAGGCGATCCTGCTCTGGGCCACGGGAGGATAGGCCACGATAGCCCTCCACAGGCCAGAGTGTGGGTGCTCAACTGACACTCGATGTGCCAGCACCTTGATTTTGGACTTCATAGCTTCTAGAACTGTGAAAAAGAGGTATCTGTTGTTTAAGCCACCCAGTCTATGGTATATAGCAGCCCAAGATGACTAAGACAAAAGGGACGGTAGGACATTCAAGTAGAGATGCCTGGCTGAGAGCTGGACATGAACAACTAGAGCTGAGGAGAGTGTTCAGCTCAAAATCAAGGCTGCCTATGCTGAGCAGAGCGGGGAATGGCTGTGACAGTGGGGTTCACCTGTTAGACTCATTTTATAAGGGTACTAATCTCATTCAAGAGAGCTCTACCCTCGTTCACTAATCACCTATCAGAGGCCCCACCTCCAAAGAAAACTCAATAAAGGCAATCGAAGAGCAACCAACAGAAACAGAAGCATAGAACAAAGAGAACATAATGTTGGTAAGGTCAAAGGAGGGCAGTCTCCAGGAGCATGATGGGTCAAACAGCTAAGAATATGGACTGGGAAAAAGGCAGCTGGGTCCGTTGACTAGTGGGGTCCTTAGCTGACTTGAGGGGGAAAAGAAAACAACATTTAATAAAGAAACATGAGCAGAAGTCAAACTAAGAAAGAATGGGTTGGTATCGAAGAACTGCATGCAGAAAGCACATTTCTAAAAGTTGATCTGAAACCAAAACTAACTCTCCAGTTCCCATGCTACTATCTCCTGGGTTAGAGAGGTCACAGAAACCATCAAGTGACCAGGACAGGCATAATCATCTCTGCAGGAAAAAAAGCCCTGAAAATTGACTTTATACCGTGCTCTATACACCGTCACATTAATGGCAATACAAAACAAAGAAGGCAGGAAAGCTGTAGTTTCTTTTTTATCCTCACCCGAGGATATGTTTATTAATTTTAGCAAGAGAGAAAGAGAGAGGGACATTGATTGACTCCTCCTATATGCACCCCAACTGGGGATCGAACCTGTAAACTTTTGATGTGTAGGACGATGCTCCAACCACTGAACAACCCAGCCAGGGCTGAAAGCTGTAGTTTCTAAGGGCAAACGGAGCTAAGAAGGCAATCAGAAAATACAGAAGCTGAGCACACATAGCTATGTGAAACCCAGGGAAAACATGTAAGGCAAAGGAAAATAAAAAGAAAATCCAAAGCATATTAAGATGAATCTATTTTAAAGCAAATCACTTAGAGAAAGATAAGTAGAAAAGCTGAACAACAAATGACTCTTTGCCTGATGCATTATGAGTTTTATTAGGTGAAAAGCTGAGAGGAATGCCCCTAGTTCAATGGGAATTTATAAAACTACTTCATCCTCCAAGTCTCACTTTCCCTAATAGTAAGAGGAATAGTGAATTTCTCGCTCAGCAGTTGAGAAACCAATTTTTAGCTGTGCAGCACCAAGATGATAACAACAGGTAACATTCCCAGGAGGTTACCTGTACAAAATCAAAGAGTCAACAGGAGGCACCGGGAATGTTAGCATCGGGAGGTCACAAATTATGCCCTTTGTATTTTCCGACTGGAATGTAGAATTTCAGGACTAATTACTTCTACATCAACTCTTATGATGTCACCAGCACTTCCTTCACACACACCCAGCCCAATTAAAAAAGCAATAAAACCTATTGTGGCCCTGGCTGGTGCAGCTCAGTGGATTGAGTGTGGGCTGCAAGCCAAAGGGTCATGGGTTTGATTCCCAGTCAGGGCACATGCATGGGTTGCGGGTCAGGTCCCCAGTGGGGGACGTGCAAGAGGCAACCACACATTGATGTTTCTCTCCCTCTCTTTCTCCCTCCCTTCCCCTCTTTCTAAAAATAAAATAAAAAAACCTTTAAAATTTTTTTTAACTATTAAAAAATACAAAACCTATTGTGGCAAATTGGAAATATCAAATATGCTGCTCTTATAGATTTTGAAATTGGGCTTTGGTGCAATTTAAACCATGTGAAGATTGTGTTTAAATAACCTATCTTTGGAAATCACACAACCAAGAAACCATAATCTGAGGAGGGATAGAGAACCTAGGAGTCAGGGTACCAAGAGAAATGACCGAGTATGCCAACTTCTGCACCTGATTGGGCAAATTACTTATCCTCACTCTAAGCTTCAGTACTGTCTCCTGCAAAACGATCATAACCCCTCCCTTTAGCGATCCCTTCTAAGTCTGAAATAAAATATAATGTGCAGGAAGAGCCTGACACATGGCAGGACCTTAATAAACAGTAACTATTTTAAAAATATTTTCATTAAATTTACTGGGGTGTCATTGGTTAATTATATAGGTTTCAAGTGTACAGTTCTATAGTACATCATACACACACACACACACACACACACACACATTATATTGCGTATTCACCACTCAAACTCTAGTCTCCTTCCATCACCATTTATCCCTGCTTTACCCTCTTCTACCTGCCCTCACTCCCCTTTCCCACTGGAAATCACCGTACTGGTATCTGTGTCTATGAGGAGTGTTTTGTTTTGTTTTGTTTTGTTTTTGCTTAATCCCTTTCCCTATTTCACCCAGCCCTCCCTACCTCCCGACAGCTGTCAGTGTGTCCTCTATATAATCTGTTTCTATTCTGTTTGTGTATTTAAATGGTAACTATTTTGATCTCGGGCTTCCATGGGTAATTTTCTATCAGGAGAGAATGTGCTGATTAGCTGAGATAAGTATTCTTTTCCGAGAAGCTGGAAGAAAAAGAGCTACTTGGTAGGTTTTGTTCTCACAGTGTCTCAACCACGCACAGCAAGCCAGGCTTCGGGGTCCTCCAGGGCTGAAGAGGACCGCACGGAGGTATGGCCACCCTAGGGGCTGAGCTCACGCTACAGCAAGCTCAGGAAGGAATAAGCACATCTTACACTATTTTACCCGAATTCTGCAGCCCCCAAAGCCCTCCACCTAGGGGGTGCTCCACAAAGACCTGCTAATTAATTGATTCCGAGGAACCTGTTTGACCACTTGCCATTTGACAATAATAGTATCTTGCTGAGACTTACTAATTCATTCAAGAAAATGGGCTTTGGTACAATTTAAACCATGCCTCTAGCCTAAGAGTTATAAAGCCTGGTAACAAGATGCTTTGTAAAGAAAAACAAAACTACTGGCTGCTTGACAAAACTGCACCACCAACTGATGGTAGAAAACCACAGTCTAGTCCTATCCCATAGAACACCCAATCACGGCTAGCAAGACTTGGAGAACTCAAGTGACAGATGATATAAAGAACATTTATAATGGACTTTGACACCCTCTCATCGCTTCCCTATAATAAAGTGAAAGTGTCATACATGGGAGGATTCATTTTTAAAGAGTTTATTGGTAAGCATGTAATTGCCTTTGACACACGTGAGATGATGACTTTGGTGACTAATTTCCGTCACAGTCAAGTCTGGCTTAATGATATTAAAGTCAATATTGACAATCTTAAACACACCTCCACAATGCAGTGAGGAGTCTGAGGTGAGGTCATTGGCCCACTCAATATACACCTTGGGGAAATCGGAAAGACGCTATCAAGAGTCAAGGGCTCATTTAAAGGAAATCCAAGAAGCAGGCACTTTAATGAACCCTACCTGAACAATGAGGGGTTTTCTGGCTCCTCGACCTGTGACTTTTCACTCTTATTTTGGCCCAGGTTTTAGATTCGTGTGTTCTCACGTACTGGTGTGGGCAAGTACAGTTGCCTGAGGTGAAACAGGTAATGGGAACAGACAGCTAGCTGGTAGGAAGGCTTGAAAGATCAGGCGATCTGGAGGGAAGAAAGAGTGAGAACCCCAAGCGAAATGAAGGGTGGGAAGGGCCAGAAGAAGCAACACTCTGGAATAACCCAGCTTCCTCAGGGGAGGGGCCTGGTTCATCCCCAGAAGGAAGGAACCACGATGGAGAAAGATGAGGCGATAGAGAACAGACACAACCACAGAAATGTCGAGTAGGCTGGGCACAACAAAGAAGAGACAGACTCACGATAGAGAAAAAGCTTCTGTAAGAAGGTGAAATAATTCCACACGCTAAAATACAGAAAGTGGCATAAATTCATCTTCTGCCCTGATCTTTCTCATTCAAGTCTCCTAACCTTTGGCAGCCTTGAGATAGTCTAGATCCACTTCATTCCAAAGCTACTTGTGTTTCTATCTGATCGCTACTGTACCTGCCATTAGCCCTGAGTGTCCTTGAATACTGGAAGAGGTGGTACAGGGGGTGGGGCACTATAAATCATTAATTCTACATCGGATGCACTGACATGTGGGTCCTGCACCATGCATGAAGGACCTTAAGACACAAATGAACCAAAATAGTCACAGGGATGTAGAACATAGTAAAGACAGTGAATAATATTGTAATAACTATGGTTGGACCCAGCTGGGTACTAGAAATATCGAAGGGAACACTATGTAAAGTATGTGATTGTCCAACCACTAAGCTGTACACCTGAAACAACACAAAATATCGAAACATAAAATAACAAAACATCTGAGAACATGATAAAACCAAAACCCAAAAACCACAGTAGCCCGTTCTTTCAAGGGGCGTGATTTGTTCTGAGAAACAAGTGGTGTGGGGCAAGGGCATGGAATTTAGAATCTGAGGATGATGCCATTTAAACCTGGGGTGGAAAAATATCACTTAATTTCACTAGTCTCAGTGTCTTCATCTGTGAAATAGAGTTGATAATACAACTGCTTCACAGGGCTGCCGAGAGAAGCAATCAGGTATCAGGGAAAGGGTTGTTCCCAGCATCAGTCTATTGCACAGATACAGCTGCTGAAGCGCCCTACTCCTCTCCGGAGTTCCCGCCATGCTGTGACCTCCCCGAGGTGGCCGCCATGGGTGAAGGACAAGGGAGAAGTCGAAAGAAAAATGGTGAGAGAAGAAACTGCCTCTAAAACTGTACTCGGGTCCCAGACTGGAGGGTTTCTTTAGTGAAAGCATCATTTAAAAAAATGTTTTATTGCTCATGCTACTGCAGTTGTCCCAATTTTTCCCCCTTTGCCTGCCTCCACCCAGCTCTCCCAACAGTCGATCCCCACACTGCTGTCCATGTCCATCACTCGTGCATGTATCTTCTCTGGTGAACCCCTTCCACCTCTTTCAGCCAGGCTCCGCTGCCCCCCACGCCCTTACACTTCTCAGTCCGTTCCCTGTTCCTAAGCCTCTATTTTGGTCGTTAGTTATTTGGTTCATTAGATTCTACTCATAAATGAGATAATATGGTATTTGTCTAGTGAAAGCATCATTAAGGCTGCTTCTCATTCAGTTATTCTCCAGGTAACAGAGAACTAGGAGACGGGAGCTGTGCTCACCTCTGCCTGCTGGCCCTCCTCATAAATACTCCCAAAGGCCCTGGGAGCAGAGTGATGTTGGCTGATTGGTGCCATAACCAGGAGTGGCCTGGGGCTGGGCTGAGGTCCAAAGGCATGCAGAAAGTCACACAGCTCACTCTCAGGCAGCAGGCAAGGTTAGCAAAACGTACCGCAGTAAAAAGGGCAACTCACCAAAGTGACTGAAGAGGTCATATGGCCAAGGATGAGGGGAAAATGGTAACAGGTCCAGTAAGTGTCCATGCCCAATTCACAGGAAATATAGCTCATAGGAGAATTACTTAAATCAACAAAGAATTTTCCCTCCTGTTATGATAAGCAGCAGAACTTGGTTGGAACTTAATGAGCTGCCTGTACCCCAGAATTCCACCAAGGTGTTCAAGTGCAGTACAAAGCTAGTGGAGAGGCATTGTTAAGACTTCAGTTCCCCGCCTGTGACACATGTACACTCACTTTTTGATCAGCTCCGTACTTATAAGTTTAACCACCAGTTCCCATTTCCTGACCACGAAAACCTGATTTTCCAGGGACGCTCTTTCCACAAAATTAAAAGCTATTATAATCAACTAAACACTCTTGATTCTTTAATTCTCAATGAACAGTTTTAATTCATATTGTAAATAATGTTCTGCTAACCTATTCATTATCTCAGAATATTTACCCAGAATTAAAATGTGACTATAGCTTGGAAAATCCTAGAGTCTTAATTATAACATGAAAGTACTTACTGACAAGGTAAGTTCAATTTCTTTATGATTGTAGTTTTTAGAAATCCTTTTCTTCAAAGCTTTTACTGCATCTTTTGGCCTACAGCAGTAAATACAAGGTAATCATCAATTTAGGCAGAGCTGAGAACGAGGAGTCTCTGAAAAGCAACATGCACTGTGAAAGGAGGAATAGCTGAGGAGAAGGCCAAGGTCATAGCTCCAAGGCCACCGCACAGAAGGCTGTGGGACCCTGGGCAGCACCTCTCACACCTGTTTCCTCATACATCCAGGCAGACAAGACCAGCTACCCACCGTGAGAACCAAATGAAATACTTGCTGTAGCACTGTTTATGTAAAAACTAGAAATGTATACCCAGCAACGTGAGATTGACCAGATAATTCATCATAAACCCTATTAAGAAATACTCTGAGACTTTTTAAAATGTCTTATTAAATGGAGTAATAATTAAGATGTGGAAAAAAATTTCATCCCGTGTTGATAGCAAAACAAGTGAGTTATGAATCAATACTCCCAAATGTTCACTATAGTTTTTGTTGGGTGGTGGAGTCATTTGTGATTTTTATTATGCGTTTATCAGCATTTTATAAATTTACTCTGAGGTTCACACATCACTCACGTAAACGTATTTTTGAAAACTGTTTATTTAAAATTAAATTTTAACTGTCAACACAAACACAAATCTACCCAAGAATATTACTTAGAATACTTGTGAAATGTATTCACACACATATGGCTCTGTCATGGTATAGGACCAGTGCACAGAAAATGCAATTTTCCAAACCAATGACGGCCACTCATTTTGATTAAGACTTTTAGTATTTCCTGAGCGTGCTATAGGCAATACGACTAACTAGGTCAACTTTCGGTATGCCGAGATTTCATGTTACAAAAGGAGGAGTCCTGTAGTGCTAAGCAGAGGGTCTAAGTGTTCTGTGAGATGGTCGAAAAGCACAAACTCCCAGTGACCAGATAAGTGAGTCACGGGGATGTATTCCACAACGTGGAGACTGTAACTACAGCCAGTACCACTGCAGGCAATGTTTGAAAGTTGCTGAGAGTAGACTGTAAAAGTTCTCATCACAAGGAAAAAAAAGTTACAGTTGCATGAGGTGAGGGCCGTCAACTAAGCTTATTGTGGTAATCATTTTGCAATAGATGTATGTCAGGTCATTATGTTGTACCCATCAAACTTATATGGTGTTATATGTCACTCACATCTTAATAAAACTGAAAAAATACACATCCTTTTTATATATTACCTTCCAATTTTGTTATGTTTGCATGTGTAGATTTCCATTATATGTTAATAATTATATAATATTACATATGCTTACACAGAATTGCTGCTACTATAACATACAATATTATGTAGATTTTTTCTGTATTGCTAAAACAATCCTATTTAAAATCTAGAATTAAAGTCTTGGAGATGTTTAAAAGAATAAAGGCACTGTTTTAAAAGGAAAAAAATGGACTTTTTAGATTCCATTTTTGTATTATCAATGAAGAAATTAGCATCATCAATGGCAAAAAGATTCACAGAAGCACCAAATATAGTAAACACAATTACAAAGAAAACACCACGAACACTTTAGAGGACTAATCATAAGCACTTCCCACTGATACAGTCAATAATTCAGTGGAATGTTTTCTTCATCAACATAAACTAATATTAAGTCTCTTTTGCTGTCACTTATTACTTTATACACACAAATTAACAGAATGGTATTCCTCATGACAATCTGTAATTCTGACTAAATGCACTAAACAGTTGGCCTTCTTAACCATTTTTTTTTAAACTTCAATTTTCTACCCTTTAAAAGTACAACCCAAAGATAGTATGCCCTTTAAGAACACAGCATGAACACAGGCAAGTTGGCCTTCAGAGAAAAAATACTGTCTTGTGACTGGCAGAAAAAGAAAAGATTGCAAGGTTATTTCCTGGTTGCAATGACAACTGCCTAGAGACTGGTCGCCTCAGGCGTCCGCTAGCTTCTTGTTAATATTTTTCAGTTAGAATAACATAAAACACCAGCAATCGGAGCAGGGGAAATTCCTAAAGAAGAAAACATCTCTCTTACAAAGTTTTTCTTTTCTTAAAGAACCAGGAATTGGAGCCAAAATTTGAAACTATTAAGGCAAGGGCCAAGAGGAGAATAATTACAATGGTTTCTCGGACACTGCACATGTTGAAACAAGCAGTTCTCCTAATACTTCAACCTGACATGTCTTCAGAAGGCAGTGGGTACCTAAGTTGGGGGGTGGGGGTGGGTGAAAACACTCTTTCAACAAGAAAACCAAAGGGGCTGCGAAAGAAAATGCACTGTAGTTCCCGGCTTCTTATCAGAGGCAACAGCAAGAACCACACTCGGTACTCACCCATCATTGGCCGTGTTAATCACGTCACAAATGTGCATGAACTGGCCCCAGTCCTCAGTCTGAACTCCAGCAAAGGTAGCCTTTTCTGCAAAGAAAAAGCTGTTGTGTTGACTCAGAGCTACAACAGAATGAAAAATGTCTGGTCTTCCTGAAATAACCTGCCTGGGGTTTGCTAGCAAGTACCATTAAGTTTATATTACCAAAGGGCAAAGAGATTTTTTTTCGGAGCAATTCCCAGTAATTCAGGAATCAATCAGAACCCACGTTCAGAGTGCTGTTGTAGCAACAGTAATGAGTGACCTATTAATAAAGACTGCAGGCACAACACCTGGCTGCCAGGCTAGGCCAGGACGGCTACATCTCCATCTGCCTGCCTGTTTTTCAGGGGACGGACACTTCCCGAGCGGGCCCCAACAACAGGAAGTGCATCATGCTAACTATTTTAGCTTATGTCATTTCATAAAACCCACTGTTAGGGATGATGAAACAGGTTTAGAGAAGTTAAGGAAATTACGCAAGGCTACACAGCCCGCACAAGGTATGTAACATTCAAAGCGAAGTACATGATTTGATATGATGGGATTAAGAAACAAAGTTCTTAATATCATTAATTCTCCTGGGGGAGGAGGTGTTAAGAAAAAGAGATCAGACCCTGGCTGGTATGGTTCAGTAGAGTGAGTGCCAGCCTGTGAACCAAAGGGTGGCCAGTTCGATTCCCAGTCTGGGCACATGCCTGGGATGCAGGCGAGGTCCCCAGTGGGAGGCACGTGAGAGGCAACCACACATTACTATTTCTCTCCCTCTCTTTCTCCTTCCCTTCCTCTCTCTAAAAATAAATAAATAAAATCGTAAAAAAAAGAAAAGAAAAATAAATCAGAACTACTAAAATTGTGTGTCCTTTAGCAGTTGAGCAAAATCACTCCTAGCACCGATACTAACCCAGGTTGCACCCAGCCAGTTTAAACATTGAGAGACTTTTCCCTCTCCAGAGAGCTGCCTTAAGAATACACAATGCTGTCTGGGCAGGGTAAAGGAACACTCAACCTGAAGGAGCTTAACATCTTTCCTACAAGAACGGAGAAGATCCCGCAACATGAAAATACCAAGGCCTACGGGGAATGAAGAAAAATTAAAAAGGAAAGAATACAAGTTTGGTTGGGGAAACTGTTTCCCATCTAGGAAAAGAACTCTCTGAACTTGGCATTCGTTGGACAAACCTGACTAATCTTGTGTTTCTTAGGCACATACTATCATCATTCCTTTTGCCATATTCCCGGCTCTTCATTCTACACGTTCTCCCATCTTCCTAGAAAACTCCTATTCGCCCTTCAAAAGTGATGGCAGAGTTCATTTCTCCCTGTTCATAAGTTTTGGGTAGCTTTACATTTCTCTTGTATTGTAAAGGTTCCATATCATAGTTACTACAAAATTGCGTCCATCTTCCCTACAAAATTGTGCATTTCCTGAGGGTTAAGACGGAATCTTACCTTTGTCTCATCCAGGTCCAAGCAGTCAGTAATAATTTTCAGATTAAAGAATTAATCGGCCCATGAAGATGCAATCTGAATCCACTTCTGCTCAGAGTTTATTTAATACCCAATAGGGATATAGATTTCCAGCAACCGCTTAGAAATCATTCCTCCTCAATGGTAGTAACTCTCGCTACTTAATTTTATAAAAATGCAGGAACTCAAGTTCACGGTAAGTGGCGTGTTCTACGTCACACGGCACCTAACTCAGCTGCTGCCCTAACTCTCCAGATCTGGGCCTCCACACCCCGCTAAGCCCCTGACATCATCATGTTTTGCTCGGCATCATACGCACTGATGCCACACCTGGGTCCCAAAGGAGGCATCAGGGAGAAGAGGGTGAACGGAGTCCCTGGCTTCTGTGGACAGTATTCAGATACGGCCGCAGGAGAAAGGAGCTGGACACCTGTGTGGTGGCCCCTGGTGTCTCCAGACCGCCGCTGGTGACTCCAGATGGCTTCTCTGCTCCTCACCTCCTGCACTCCAGGTATGAGCATTTTCAAGCTCTTTGTTTACCCAGAAAAGTAACTCAGGTTGTAAGGGCTTGGCGCCAGGGAGAACCGGTTGAAGACACCTGCCTCTCCCACTGAGGTGGCATCACTTCACCTCCTTGACCCTTCTGGTCCTCCCCTGGAAACCGGTCCCAGCAGCACTGTCCCTTCGAGTGAACGCACTTTAGGACTAACCCTGGCAGAGAAGTTTACGTCCTCCCCTTGGAGAGGCCCGAACACTACACACCTGAATCCCACACGTGGCTCACCTGTTCGATTTTACTTCCCAGGAGGCATAAACAGAGAGGCAGAATTTTGAGGATTGGTTCTAGAAAGAGTCAGCCATAAAAAAAAAAAAATGCTTCAAAGGGACCGGGCAGAATGCGGGCGCCCTGGGAACGTTGTAGGGGGAGGGGAAGTATTTCTTCAAACTTGGACCAACTCTGTCCTCCGCAGGCCTAGAAAGAGTCCAACGGGGTGGGGTCCCCCCTCCCCCCCGGCCCCAGCCGTCACTAAAGCTTGCCGGGGCGTCTCCCCCCCGCGCTTCTTTACCTATAAGGTGGCCCACGGAGGTCGCATAGGGATCCCGGTGACTCTTTCCAAACGCCATGGTAGCCGTAGAGAGCCGGGTACAGGAAAAACGCCTCCACGGTTCTCGAGCTCCCGACTCCACCCGCACGGTGTCTCTGGCTCCTCCTCTTGGCCCGAACGCTTCCCAGACTCCGGGCGGAGGCTGGGCGATCTGCCCGGCCGCTGCGGGGCGCCCAGTTCCAGGCAAGGGAGCGGAGGCGGGACGGGGGCTCCAGGGCGGGGCTCCCTGGCGGGCGGCCGGCCGCGCACCTGCCGCGCGCCCGGCGGGACTTGCGGGGAGGCGCTGCCAGGTCCAGGTGGGACCAATGGGAGATGCTCCCCACGCGCAAGAAGGGACACGGAGCTCCAGCTGCGGACCCAGGTGGCCTTCTCGCCCCGGCGGAGGAGCCGCGGGGTGGGCCCGGGAGCCACAGCCTACGAATTCGAGATCTCAGCTCTGATCCTGCCGCCTACTGGGCAAATTGCTGCTTTTTCTCTGCCCCTTTTGCTCCCCTTTGTAGCTAAAGAAATATGGGGTTAATTACACAAACCTCAGGATTATTATTAGAATTAGGGACATAAAACGCTTAGGTCAGTTACTGGCACCCACAAAAACATATTTAACCACGGAATGAACTGAGTAAACTACAAATATTTACTCTCACCCTCGCCCCAGAGATCCCAAACAGGAGGTATGCCTCTTGCCCTATAAGGCAGCGATGGATTGGCTTTGAACATAGGGGCCTTCCTGGAGCTGGCGTCCTTTTTCTTGCTCCTGTTTCCTCAGGGACCACAAGGCATAGCCTAGCAAGCTCTCGTTCCTAACCCTGCCCCCTGGGAGCAGTGTCTTCCTCCGTGGCTGAGACGAGGAAGGGGCTTTCCTCGTCTCGTCTCAGGCGTGGAGTGTTTGGCCTCTAGACTGGTCTGGAAAGTAAGTCCTAGCTTAAGCTGTCCAACCCCTTTCCAGCTGCCCTTTCAGAAGCGGAATTTATTTCTTTTTTCTGTGTGTAACATCTGATGACCGATGTTAATCTCCAGCAATGCCAGAGCCTGCTAGAGAGTGGGGTGTCTCCAGGTGATGGCAATTAGCCATAGGATGAGATACCCCACCGCCTCTAAACCTTGCTTTCTGCTGTCAACTTGGGTTCAATTCCACAGCCCTTCTTTCGTCCTGGAAATGGTGACAAGAGAGATCAAAGTGGACTTAGTCCAATTTATGCCTTTAGTTTTATATATTTTAGAATAGAAGTCAAAGCCAATAGCAATACACACCAAGGTTCTCCACCTCCTCCAATATCCAGGATTCTAAAATACAGAATACGATATTTTTGTTGTGATAGTATTTCTCATAATAGGATTGGTCCTACCTGTAACTAATATTCTCTCCACCTGTTTATCCAGGGTGAGGAGCTGTTTCAGATGGTGTTATTTTACAGTTTAGAAAAACCGAAGTATATAATTATTTACCTAGTTATCTGGCTCGTGAGGACTATCTGATTCCGGAAGCTGTGACTTGGACCTTTGTGCTGTGCACCTCTCATTGTAGAGGTCTAGATAGTAGGTGGTACCCTTGGTTAGTTCACACTTTTAATTAATTAATTAATTTATTTATTTAAGGCAAATGGCCCTCATTTTGTAAAAGATTTTATTTATTTATTTTTAGAGAGGGAAGGGAGAGAGGGAGGGGGAGAGAGAGGGAGAGAGGGAGTGGGGGACAGAGAGAGAGAGAGAGAGAGAGAGAGAGAGAGAGAGAGGGAGAAACATCAATGTGTGGTTGCTGGGGGCCGTGGCTTGCAACCCAGGCATGTGCCCTGACTGGGAATCGAACCTGCGATGCTTTGGTTTGCAGCCCATGCTCAATCCATTGAGCTATGCCAGCCAGAGCTAGTTCATACTTTTAAATAATTGGGTTCTAGGGCGTATGCCTGGAGAATGAGGTGACTGAACATGCCAAGTGCATACGTCCAGAAGACAAAGTTGACTTATTACCAGTTTTTATGCAGGTAATGCAGTTTTACCCTCTCATTTAATTTTGTTCTTACTACTAAATCTCCTAGATTTTCAGATATGGATGTGACCTTAGAAATCAAAGTCTCTATCACCATCACCTTAGAGATGAGAGAGAGAGAGAGAGAGAGAGAGAGAGAGAGAGAGAGAGAGAGAGAGAGAGAGAGCATGCCAGAGAAGGGAAGTGAAGAGGTCTTCTAGCTCGAAGCTAGAGAAATACAACACAATAGCTTAACCCTGAGTCCCAAACTCTTCCCACTACAGGCACCTCCTCTCTGTTTTAATATTTAAATATGCTCCTCCAAACTTCTCCACAATATTTTCTCTAGCCTTCTCATTATCCTTTTTTTCAATGGTTCCATGTTCAAATACCACCCACTCTTTCTCCCCTAGTTGTCCTTCTGTGGAAACTAACTTCCATATTGATGGTGATCATCAAATCTAACAACCATCCTCAGCCTCACCCACTGCCCTCTCTGTAGTGTGTGATACCCCTCCCATTAGCCATTCTTTCCCCCATCATCTCTCAGGCTACTTATCCTACATTCCTTTTTCTGACTGCTATTTCTGATGATCTTCACCTGGCTTAATTTTCCTCCCTGGCCCACTAACCCTAAGTAAGCTGCTCCACGGTTCCCAAGCCTATCTTTTCCTCTTTCGCCATTTCCCTCAGGGTGCCTTTTTCTTGTCCCTTTTCTATGAAGCCTTTTCTGACCAGTCCCTAGGGAACTGAGACCTCCTTTCTTGTCCTACATACAGCTCTCTGTCTTAGAGCTCATAACACTTTACTCTACTTCTTTGTTTAGAAATCTGTTTGCTGCCTCCTAGATATAAGCCCCTCGGGAAACAGGACCCTATTTGCTCACTTGCTATCCAGGCACTTAAAAGTCCTTAAGGAATGTTTATTGAATGCATGAATGGCTCCCCCAAATCTTGAGCAGCTCTATCCTTCCTAAGATCCAGTTCTTAATTCCTGCCTGGATGTCTTGTTGGAACCTTGACCTCAACATAGCTAGAATCACTGTTCTCATCCCCTTTGTCCCTCATCTCAATATCCTACCGGACTTCCTTATTTTGAAGAACAAGGTCACTGATGTATTGGAATCACATGGGCTGCTGTAACAAAGTACTGATGCCTGGATTCTGCCCTCAAAGATTCTGATTTAAGGAGCTTGGGATGTGTCAAGGACGTCAACATTTTTAAAGGTCCTCTGATGGGCTAACGCTACCATAACTCCCAAGTAAGAAATCTTAAAGTTATCCGTAAGTCTCTCAGTCAATTCCCAGATCCCTTGTGTTTCATGCCTCTCTGTCTCCTTGCCTGCTTTCCTCTATGGACACTGCTCCATTCAGCAGTTCTTAAACATCATAAGCCTTAATACTGTTTGGGGATAAAATTGGACTGGAGCTTGGGTTCTCCCAAACATAATCAAGACTCTGCGCCTCTAAAGCCATATTATCTTTAAAATTGACCCTCTTTTACAGAATAATGTTACCCATTATGTTTAAAAAACAATATATACAGAGATATATGTTGACTTTATTTCCATTTTTTAAAATATATTAAATCTTGGCAACCCCTGATTCTAGAAATTGGAAGCTCAGCCTTCCTTCTCTTTTTTTTAAAGATTTATTTATTTATTTATTTATTTGAGAGGGAAGAGAGGGAGAAAGAGAGAGAGAAAGAAACATCAATATGTGGTTGCTGGGGATCATGGCCTGCAACCCTGGCATGTACCTTGACTGGGAATCAAACCTGCGATACTTTGGTTCGAAGCCCACGCTCAATCCACTGAGCTACGCCAACCAGGGCTCTTCCTTCTCTTCTTGTTCGTGGTATCAGCTCTATCAGCTTCACATGAGAGCACTTCTCCCCTCCCCCGCCCCCCAGCCCAGGGACTGTTTTGTTCCATTTCTGTTGGCTTTTGCTAAACTCGGAGACTCAAGTTGAGAGAGGACAAGGCACAGGAAGAGAAATGGGAACTTATGCTGTCGACTTCCTGCTATGTCAGCCACCAGACAAAGTGCTTTGGTATCTCCAATGAACCTCATAATAATCTGATAAACTAAGACTCATTTTTTCCCTTTTTGCTAACTGACTTGCCTGAAGTCATTCAGAACTGAGAGATGAGTTTGGGTTTATTTGCTTCATTTCAAACCTTAGGCCCTTTTCCAATTACATCTTGCTGCACCCAGCACAAGAATAATGTCCCTGATCTTGGGGAGTACCTGCAGCATCTAGCCCCATGCTCCTCATCCAGCCGTGCCAAATAGAAATTTGACTTAGAGGAGGCCACTGAACCCTGAGTCAGACCTGACAAAAGACACATTCCTGGCTGGAACCAGAAAAATGCTAATGGAACAGGTCTGCCAGGTTAGAGTGTGAGGGGGGACCCCCCCCCAAAACCAGAATTATCTTCTGGAGGGTGGGCCCTTTATAGTACAGGCTTCCCCTACTAGGTGAGTGTTCTAGGAACCCGTCTGTGTCAGTGTACCAACTGGACTTGTTGTGAGAAGCTGCGTTCAGCTTCAGTTTGTTTTGAAGATTCTTTCAGTGCGATTGCCCATTTCATAGTAGGTGATTTATGAATGTACTTCCCCATACTTTGCTGAGTGTTCAGCAGTTTTTGACCCAAAATGGCATGACCCTTCCTCACCCCCCATGCTCCACCTTCCCTATTCACCTGATCTTGCCCTGAGCAAGTTTTTTTGTTTTGCTGGATGAAAAAAGCCTTCAAAGAGAAACTTTTTGCTGATATGCAAGAGGTGAACAAAAATTGGCAGCAGCACTAAAAGTCATCAAAATTGACAAGTTCAAAAACTGTTTTGATTTGAGCAATGGAAAAAAAAAAGTCTCACCCTGGCTGGTGTGGCTCAGTGGATTGAACACAGACCTGGGAACCAAAGAGTTGCTGGTTCGATTCCCATTTAGGACACATGCCTGGGTTGCAGGCCAGGTCCCCAGTGGGGGGGCATGTGAGAGGCAACCACACACTGATGTTTCTCTTCCTCTCTCTCTCCTTCTCTTCCCCTCTCTAAAAATAAATAAATAAAATCTTTTTAAAAAGTCTCAGTAGGTATATTGCATCATGTGAAGAGTACTTTGAAGGTGACTGAAGTTTAATCCTGTAAGAATAAATACACTTTTTAAATAAATAAACTCTGTGTTTTTTGGGGTC